CACGTTCCTCTGAGTCTGGGTCCTCTGGTTGCACGTCTGGGTGCACTGTTCCCAGGATCCTGTTCTTGGCTGAGGGGTTCCTGGTTAGTTGGTGGAGTCCCCTCCATCCCCCGGGCGGCCGGCGTGGGAGGGATGACAGGGGTGGTGGATGCAGGGGTGGACACGGGTGGTGGCAGGAGGGGTGGCTAGCTGTCCCTCACACTCACCACTCCTATGAGTACTTGTGTCTCCCTCCCTTTTGGGAGGAACCTGAATGCCTGCTGTGACCTGTGCCATATCTGGGTGCATGGAGGGTAGCACACCCCTGCAACAAGCACAGTGAGGGCGGTGAATAGGTGGGTGGGAGACACCCAGGCGCAGGGTGGGCTGGGTGGTGGGATGGCAGGAGGTACTGTGGTGCGGTCAGGCCGGCGGGCGGGGAGGAGGTGGGGGTTGACCGGGCCTCGCTCAGCTTGAGGGGGGGGGGGGTCTGGGTGACACTTAAACACTGGTATAATTTTCTTGTATATCACTGCACAATGGTGAATGAATCATACACTTGTAATCCGACACACTGTGAGCTCTATTACCTCTGACCATGATTGCTGATTTTTTTCATTTTTCTTTCCCAAACGTATTTCTATAAACACTGGGTGGCACATGGGTGACCCCCCCCCCTCGCCCGACCGAACAACAACACCCCCTCCTCCCCCACACCTTAGCCTGGGAGGCCTAGAGGGCGCCAGCGTGGCCCTCACTGCCGTTGTATTCCATACACTGCACACCCACCTGTTTTCATCCGTTTTTGTTGAGATGGTCCACTCTGGGCACTTGCCGCCACTCCTGCACCTTCCCAGGACATTCACACATCACTCTGTGAAGGCTAGGCACGGTGACGTCAGGAAGTCCCTAGGTAATGGCTCAGTAAACAACAGAGCCTCCTCCACACACACACATATATATATATATATATATATATATATATATATATATATATATATTACAATTTACTTGCATAAACTCGCGTTTTTTGGTAAACAACCATAGACACCACCCCAGCAGTTGACTCGAACTCAGAAAGTACAGCTGTTGGCGCTGCTACCATAACTGGTACGCCTTAATCGACTACACCACTCAGACCCTTCAAACGGGTCTCCAAAATTATTTTTTTTACATTTTTATTTTTGGTCTGATGCCTAAAAGCGTTTCGTAAGGTTTTCTTACATTCTCAGAGACTGGTTTACACATAACAAATATCATGCTTATATGCATTTTGGGTGAAGTGATATAACACAAATGTTTTGGGTGAGAATGGTATAAATTAGGTATGAAAACATAAGAATGAAAAGGATGAACAACCCAGCGGGTTTTCTTCCTATTGGGGAGTGTTGTACATTCTGCTATGGCGGTATGTTCACTCACAAGATGAGTGGCGCTGCCCAATAAATTCGCCCCTCGGGGCAAAATTTAAAAAAAAAAAATAAGAATGAAAGTAACTACAGAAGGCCTATTGGCCCATTTTTTTTCTCTTGCTGCTTCTTTGTTGGTTCGGGGTCTTGAAGTGGGTAGAATATAGTTATGTGTTAATTGACTGTTGATTGCTGGTGTTGACTTTTTGATGTGTAGTGCCTCGCTGATGTCGAGTCTCCTGCTATCGCTGTATCTATCGATGATTTCTGTGTTGTTTGTTAAGATTTCTCTGGTGATGGTCTGGTTGTAAGAGGAGATTATATGTTCCTTAATGGAGCCTTGTTGTTTGTGCATTGTTAATCGCCTGGAAAGAGACGTTGTTGTCTTGCCTATATGCTGAGTTCTTTGGGGCTTACAGTCTCCAAGTTGGCATGTGAAGGCATAGACGACGTTGGTTTCCTTCAAGGATCGAGAAACGTGAACTTGGGAAGGGAACACAGGTAAACCACACATCAGGTAGTAAATCCCAACACAGGACTGTCCAATGACAAAAAATCCATAAATGCAAATGATTGCAAATATTATGCTAAGTGAATACGTAAATATGAACCCACAGGAGGACAGACTCTCACATTCTAAAGATATTCACGAATATAGTAAGAAAAGGAACTCTCTGTTTTGGAACAAATTGTAAATATTTTCACAGTAAATTATGCCAGCCCTCGACTGATGATACCTCACGTTGGCTGGGAAATATTAAGGTACCAACTGGCCAGATTTTCATTTCAATGTATCTTACCTTGAGGTTACCTTACCTTGAGGTTACCTTACCTTGAGGTTACCTTACCTTGAGGTTACCTTACCTTGAGGTGTTTCCGGGGCTTATCGTCCCCGCGGCCCGGTCGTCGACCAGGCCTCCTCGTTGCTCGCATGTAGCAGTACGTTACAGACGGGAAGATAAGCTGACGGAAAAATGGAAATTTCAGCACGATTGTTAAGCGGAGATGTAAGCAGTGTAGAACAGGTAAGAGTGTAGACAGAAAAAATCCGGCCAGAGTACAGGAGGGAATGGACAAGTGGCCAAGATTGGACTACAAGCCGGCCACACGACCATCAACCGTGCACCACACATTGCGATCCTCAAGATTAGAGCAACAGTGCAACTAACAGTATTGGAGGAATCTAATACAAGTCTACAGCACACCCTCGGGGGCCTCGTAGCCTGGTGGATAGCGCGCAGGACTCGTAATTCTGTGGCGCGGGTTCGATTCCCGCACGAGGCAGAAACAAATGTGCAAAGTTTCTTTCACCCTGAATGCCCCTGTTACCTAGCAGTAAATAGGTACCTGGGAGTTAGTCAGCTGTCACGGGCTGCTTCCTGGGGGTGGAGGCCTGGTCGAGGACCGGGCCGCGGGGACACTAAAGCCCCGAAATCATCTGAAGATAACCTCAAGATAACCCTAGGATCAAGATGGATACGTAAGAGACCTTAAGTCCTCACAGAAACAAGGCAAACAATAAATATGTTTACCAGCTTACAAGGCTTAAAGTCAACAACGAGAAATAAGCCTCCATACATAAATGTCCTAAGATTCACATACAGTGTTTGCAACATTCACAAAACCTCATACAAGAGCTAATATGTACAGGGGACTCTGGATAAAGCAGATCAAATAGAGGATTTGGTGTGTATATTAAGGAGGAACTTGTATGGACAAAACTATTAAATTTGTAAATAATGTTTTAGAGGAATTTGGAATTAAAGTAGCAAGTAAAACTTGGTAATGATTCCAATATACAAATCTTGAGACGTAATGGATGAGGAATTTACAGAATAAACTATATACAAAATGGCTTCGAAAATCTAGAAAAATAATATGTAGGAAATTGTCTTCCTTAAAGACTTCATTCTACCCAATTTAAGATTGGGTAGAATTTAAATTAACTTTAACCCAATTCAACGATTCTTCGCGGCGGGGATCGTATTCCAGGGACCTGCCCGAAACGCTACGCGTACTAGTGGCTCTACAAGAATGTAACAACTCTTGTATATATCTTAAAAAAAAAAAAGGGAGAATACAACCTGTTGTTGGTTCCGGGGATCAATGTTCCCACGGCCCGGGTTCTGTCAAGGCAATAAACAAACGAGTGTCAGAGATCTCATTAGACATCGTGGACAGCTGTCCCTCAACCAGCTGACACCAGCCAACTATCAGTTAAAATACTTGTCATTTGATGTTCACAAACAATAAAGTAGTAATCAGCAACATTACTTAATCGGACACTACGCACTTACATCACAAATGTATACTTGCAAACACAAATACATGAAATAATACATGAATATATTGTGGGCCTGCGGGCCGCTCCAAACAACAGCCTGTTGGACCAAGGTCTCTCTGGCCTCGGGTCGGGCTTGGGGAGTAGAACAACTCCCAGAACCCCATCAAGCAGATCAAGCAGATACCCAAATAAATAACTAGCGGAAAGGGTTCAATACCCGCCAAACACACTCCGAAACTACAACATTGGTACAACGTTCAAACAAGTTTTAACACCTCCTAACCAGTTATAACAACCAATATAGCTAGTTGTAAGAACGTTCTAATACGTCATAAACACGTTAAGCCAAGATGTAACAACTTTATTCCAAGTTGTAAGAAGCGGAAAATAGACACAGTTTCGGTTTGTGTTTCCCGGGTAAAGCCTTGGCGTGAAAAGTAAACAGTGAACTAAGAAGCACAACACAACCCTCCTGAGACTCTCAAAAAGGAACTGAACAAATAACTTTCCAAGCTACAGAATCCACTTGAAATATGTTCCTCTACGTATGATAAAGAAGACCAACTTAGGCAAGTCCATTCCATCCAGCGGCCGAGCCCAGAGACGTATTCATCAATTTTAACATGCTCTTCATTAAAAATAGAAATGTTTTCTCAAATAGAAATTAATATTGTATTATATGTAATACTTTATCGTCAGCCTTATCATTTTATTGTTCAAATTTCCACATGAACTTGTATACAAGTGATACACAATTCCCACGTAGTCCTATCATGACCTTGTGTAATCCTGTTGTTTTATCGCTGACAGGATGAGTATGGGGTGCACAATAAACTACCGCTCACAGGATGAGTATGGGGTGCACAATAAACTACCGCTCACAGGATGAGTATGGGGTGCACAATAACCAACCGCTCACGGGATGAGTATGGGGTGCACAATAAACTACCGTCACAGGATGAGTATGGGGTGCACAATAAACTACCGTCACAGGATGAGTATGGGGTGCACAATAAACTACCGTCACAGGATGAGTATGGGGTGCACAATAAACTACCGTCACAGGATGAGTATGGGGTGCACAATAACCAACCACTCACAGGATGAGTATGGGGTGCACAATAAGTTAGTCCCCAAGATTGGTAATAACCAACCAGTGAGGACCTACCGAATCTGAGGGTCCCCATCTCCCCCACTGAGGGCCCCCATCACCACCACTGAGGGTCCCCATCTCCACCACTGAGGGGCCCCCATCACCACCACTGAGGGCCCCCATCTCCACCACTGAGGGGCCCCCATCTCCACCACTGAGGGGCCCCCATCTCCACCATTGAGGGCCCCCATCTCCACCACTGAGGGCCCACATCTCCACCACTGAGGGGCCCCCATCTCCACCACTGAGGGCCCACATCACCACCACTGAGGGGCCCCCATCTCCACCATTGAGGGCCCCCATCTCCACCACTGAGGGCCCCCATCTCCACTGAGGGCCCACATCTCCACCACTGAGGGGCCCCCATCTCCACTGAGGGCCCCCATCTCCACCACTGAGGGGCCCCCATCTCCACCACTGAGGGCCCCCATCTCCACCACTGAGGGCCCACATCTCCCCACTGAGGGGCCCCCATCTCCACCACTGAGGGCCCACATCTCCACCACTGAGGGCCCACATCTCCACTGAGGGTCCACATCTCCACCACTGAGGGCCCCCATCTCCACCACTGAGGGCCCCCATCTCCACCACTGAGGGCCCCCATCACCACCACTTAGGGGCCCCCATCACCACCACTGAGGGGCCCCCATCTCCACCACTGAGGGCCCACATCTCCACCACTGAGGGGCCCACATCTCCACCACTGAGGGGCCCACATCTCCACCACTGAGGGGCCCACATCTCCACCACTGAGGGGCCCCCATCACCACCACTGAGGGGCCCCCATCTCCACCACTGAGGGTCCCCCATCACCACCACTGAGGGCCCACATCTCCACCACTGAGGGCCCCCATCACCACCACTGAGGGCCCACATCTCCACCACTGAGGGCCCCCATCTCCACCACTGAGGGGCCCCCATCTTCACCACTGAGGGCCCCCATCACCACCACTGAGGGGGCCCCCATCTCCACCACTGAGGGCCCACATCTCCACCACTGAGGGGCCCCCATCACCACCACTGAGGGGCCCCCATCACCACCACTGAGGGGCCCCCATCACCACCACTGAGGTGGCCCCCATCACCACCACTGAGGTGGCCCCCATCACCACCACTGAGGTGGCCCCCATCACCACCACTGAGGGGGCCCCCATCACCACCACTGAGGGGGCCCCCCATCACCACCACTGAGGGGGCCCCCATCACCACCACTGAGGGGGCCCCCATCACCACCACTGAGGGGGCCCCCATCACCACCACTGAGGGGGCCCCCATCACCACCACTGAGGGGGCCCCCATCACCACCACTGAGGGGGCCCCCATCACCACCACTGAGGGGGCCCCCATCACCACCACTGAGGGGGCCCCCATCACCACCACTGAGGGGGCCCCCATCACCACCACTGAGGGGGCCCCCATCACCACCACTGAGGGGGCCCCCATCACCACCACTGAGGGGGGCCCCCATCACCACCACTGAGGGGGCCCCCATCACCACCACTGAGGGGGCCCCCATCACCACCACTGAGGGGGCCCCCATCTCCACCACTGAGGGGCCCCCCATCTCCACCACTGAGGGCCCCCATCTCCACCACTGAGGGGCCCCCATCACCACCACTGAGGGGCCCCCATCACCACCACTGAGGGGCCCCCATCACCACCACTGAGGGGCCCCCATCACCACCACTGAGGGGCCCCCATCACCACCACTGAGGGGCCCCCATCACCACCACTGAGGGGCCCCCATCACCACCGCTGAGGGGCCCCCATCACCACCACTGAGGGCCCCAATCACCACCACTGGGGGCCCCCATCACCACCACTGAGGGGCCCCCATCACCACCACTGAGGGGCCCCCATCTCCACCACTGAGGGCCCCCATCTCCACCACTGAGGGGCCCCCATCTCCACCACTGAGGGGCCCACATCTCCACCACTGAGGGCCCCCATCACCACCACTGAGGGTCCCCCATCACCACCACTGAGGAGCCCCCATCACCACCACTGAGGGGCCCCCATCACCACCACTGAGGGCCCCCATCACCACCACTGAGGGGCCCCCATCACCACCACTGAGGGGCCCCCATCACCACCACTGAGGGGCCCCCATCACCACCACTGAGGGGCCCCCATCACCACCACTGAGGGGCCCCCATCTCCACCACTGAGGGCCCCCATCTCCACCACTGAGGGCCCCATCTCCACCACTGAGGGGCCCCCATCACCACCACTGAGGGGCCCCCATCACCACCACTGACGGCCCCCATCTCCACCACTGAGGGCCCCATCTCCACCACTGAGGGGCCCCCATCTCCACCACTGAGGGGCCCCCATCTCCACCACTGAGGGGCCCCCATCTCCACCACTGAGGGGCCCCCATCTCCACCACTGAGGGCCCCATCTCCACCACTGAGGGCCCCCATCTCCACCACAGGAGGGCCAGTGAGGGCCGTGCCAACTCTGTCACCATACACCCTCCCCCTCCCCACATAACTAATAATAGCTACCAAGCCTCTACTCTTCTTGTAGAGAGGCGCCCGCTGCTGCCCTCCTCAACAACATTGTTTACAAGACAAGTTTCTTGCCCGCATTGCAGGAAGAGTTGCCTCTCCTGCACGACCTGGGAGTACTCCAACCACGCCTCGACCAGCTGGCGTGGTTGCCTCTCCTATCTACCCCCTTCATCTAGACACACCCTCTCCCCTAAGCAACTCTATTTTTTTTAATTTTCCATGCATAGAGTTGACTATTTTGTTGAGATTGAAATGGTTGGTTGGAAAAAAATGTGTTTGATTTGTTTAATCGAGGAGGTGGTGGTGTGGGAGAGTAATGTCGGTCTCTGCTTGCCTTAGTGCGGTATGGGAGAGTAATGTCGGCCTCTGCCTGCCTTAGTGCGGTATGGGAGAGTAATGTCGGTCTCTGCCTGCCTTAGTGCGGTGTGGGGCGGGTGTAATGTTACTCAATGAATATTAATGTGTAATGTTATATCCAGGCACACATCTGTACCACCCCAGCGGTACGTCTTGCTCTCTGTACTCTTCCCCACCACACACACACACACACCTGTGCTGCTTCAGCTGTGTTCCTCACACACACCTGTGCTGCTTCAGCTGTGTTCCTCACACACATCCGCGCTGCTTCTCCTGTGTTCCTCACACACACACACCTGTGCTGTTTCAGCTGTGTTCCTCACACACACCTGTGCTGCTTCACCTGTCTTCCTCACACACACCTGTGCTGCTTCAGCTGTGTTCCTCACACACACCTGCGCTGCTTCAGCTGTGTTCCTCACACACACCTGTGCTGCTTCACTTCTGTTTCCTACACCTGCGCTGTTTCACCGTTGTTCCCTCCCCCCCCTTCCCCCCCACACACATGGGCGCTGGTGGCTGAGTGGACAGCACGCTGGGCACGTAATCCTGCTTACTGGGGTTCGATTCCCGGCGCCAGCGAGAAACAAAATGTAAGGCGTTTCTTTCACCCCTGATGCCCCTGTCACCTAGCAGTACCTGGGAGTTAGACAGCTGTCACGGGCTGCTTCCTGGACCATTGTCTGGGCGAAACAACTTTATAAAACTAGAGATCCGGTGAGGTGAGGTACCCACAGCAACTGTGACAGTACCCACAGCAACTGTGACAGTACCCACAGCAACTGTGACAGTACCCACAGCAACTGTGACAGTACCCACAGCAACTGTGACAGTACCCACAGCAACTGTGACAGTACCCACAGCAACTGTGACAGTACCCACAGCAACTGTGACAGTACCCACAGCAACTGTGACAGTACCCACAGCAACTGTGACGGTACCCACAGCAACTGTGACGGTACCCACATCAACTGTGACGGTACCCACATCAACTGTGACGGTACCCACAGCAACTGTGACGGTACCCACAGCAACTGTGACAGTACCCACAGCAACTGTGACGGTAGCCACAGCAACTGTGACGGTAGCCACAGCAACTGTGACGGTAGCCACAGCAACTGTGACAGTACCCACAGCAACTGTGACGGTAGCCACAGCAACTGTGACAGTACCCACAGCAACTGTGACAGTACCCACAGCAACTGTGACAGTATCCATAGACACAGTAACATAAGCACAACAACAAATCTATATAAACTAATTATATAAATAGAACACGTGGAAAAAATGTTACTGGAACAAGGGAACAAGTTTTCTAGGGGCAATGTACAAGCTGAGTTGTGATGAATGTGCCCTCCTGCAGGACGCTAACATCAATAGCCTAAATGATCCAACCCGTTCTCTCGCCTCGTAGGTCGCGTTTTTTAACGTGATCGATGAGGTCGTTAAAAATGTAACGAATGAATTCTTAATTAAAAGACTATAATATTGACGTTGTCAGTGCATCCGGCTCGACAGGACATATCCGGTCCAACTGTAGTGGGTATGTGGGCCTGCGGGCCGCTCCATGCAACAGCCTGGTGGACCAAGTAATCACAAGTCGAGCCTGACCTCAAGCCAGGCTCAGAGAGTAGAAGAACTCTCGAAACCCTCTCCAGGTATGCTTCAGGTACTGTTGAATTGGACAGGACCTTGGCCACTGTCGTGTAATACTGTCAGCCTTCAAATTGCAGACGATTAGAGTGACAACCAATCGTGAGGCAGCTAGGCCTCTGACGTCATACCCACAGTGCCTGGCCGCTGCTGACGGTCAGCCTACTGTGAACCACTAGAGCAGGTGGGCCTCGGGGGACCTGGAGAGTGTGTTACCTGTCATTAATAAAGCAGCACAGAAGGATGCTGAGAGTATTCTCTACATGTCCAAGAAAGAGTCTTTCACCCAGTAAGAGTGGGCAAAAAGACAGTAAGAGTCTTCACCGTATCTTCAACCAACAAGAAAGAGCCGAAACAATACCTCATGTCTGCCTTTTATCCCGACTCAAGATTTCCTGTATGCTATCTTGAGGTTATCTTGAGATGATTTCGGGGCTTAGCGTCCCCACGGCCCGGTCCTCGACCAGGCCTCCTTTTTGTTACACATCCCCAGGAAGCAGCCCGTAGCAGCTGTCTCTCTCACTCTCTCACTCTCCCCCTCCCTCCTCTCTTTTAACGTCGTTAGGTCCAGGTCCTTAAGCTGTTCCTCACACCCCAGCTTCAGTAATTCAACGACGAGCCACGGTACATACCTCTTGTACCCTCTGAAGCTTTCTTTGGTGCTTCTTGAGGCGGGGTGCCACGACGGGGTGCCACGACGGGGTGCCATGACGGGTGGGGAGGGGGTCTTAGCCCCATTCCAGGTTCGGTCTCACAAGTTAAGTGTCGTCAATAACGTGTTATTGAAGCTCCTGTGTCGTGCTGGGACTCGCTTCATTATGCTTAGTTAATTCCGTTGTTATGGGTGAGCTTCAGGGGCCCTTCGCGCCTCTGAATCTTCAGTAGATTAGTGACCACTGGACAGGTCCTCGAGCCTTTTAGGCTCTGTCGTTGATCTATTATCTATTTTTCACTAGGTCATTAGGTTTATTTTGGGTCATTATCTATTTTTGAAACTGTGTATGGACTCAGCCTCCTCCACTTTACCAGTTAGTGCATTCTGGTTTTTAACTCTACTAA